CACACACACACACACACACACACACACACACACACACACACACACACACACACACAGAAGAGTTTGCGTGTCAAGCAGAGCAACAAGCTCTATTTACTTGGGATGTGTGTACATATAATATTACATCACTTCAGTTTAGATGTTCGTGGATTTCTTTTGGTACACAGCAACAACAGGATATAGCCTCATATGATATGATGTACATACATGGGCATCAACAATGCAGACAATGAGGCATATTCAAATACATGTTTTTTATTTGTTTGAGTATTTACTTTCACACAACCTGATTAAAAACGTGTCTAAATTTGTCTGTGTAGGAAAATGAATATTTTTTTGGATATTTGTTTCCTCACTACTTTTATAACACCATTTTAGTGACAAATCAATGAGTGTATAGCTTATAATAGTATTGCACTTCAAACATTTGTTTTGTGAAACAACTAAGGAAAAGAAAATGATCTCTTTATGTGCTGAAAGCACAACAGATGCGAAAAACAATTATGGGACTGAAGCGTTTCAGTGTATTAGGAGCTGTACCTACAGCTGAAGCTCAGTGTCTTTTTACCATAAACACTCACAGGACATTTCAAACTTGATATAGCACACAAAGATCTGAGTACACACCGGTCTGCTCCCCTCTCTGCCTCAAACAGAAAGTAAATATTAAAGTGTTTTTGAATTCCCCTCATATCAAATGGCACCCGTACAGTCAGGCATATGCACAAAACACTTTATTTCCTTCCTCCCAGCCTTGTGACCGACTGGCTTGTTTTGAAACCTGATCACTGGCCTCTTGCGTCCTGACACACATTTACATCTTTCAGTTTTGCAATCCCCCTGTTTACTGCTACACACACGGACCCACACTCAGATGCAAAGAGGCAGTGAGCTTCTAACTTGTGCCCTCTTATCCAGATGGTGCAGAAAGAAAACAGACGATCTTGGCTTGAGCAACAAGCGGTTATAGTCGGTCATCTCTTCATCGAACACATTGCGATGACTCTTAACCCTTTCCAGCTTTATGCAATTCAACTAATATTGATCTTCAATCAGAGATTAGATATTTTCTGCAAGGCATGCGTCACATCAGCACATGTGAACAGCAAACTCAAAATAGCACCTGACCCTATCTTTAATAAATATCTTTTATCTTTCATGTCATTAGCTGAGGAGTTCATATCCTATTCCTAACTAACGCTGTTAATGATGTGGGGAAAAAAAGAATTGTTTGTGTTATGTTAGTTGAAACATATAATATATCTCCGGATAAAAAAGCAGAGCAACAAACGTATAAGACAGAGACGAAGATGTCAAGAGAGCTTTTGGTGATAAGAGCCGATGCCGGTGCTGATGTGCTGTGAACAAAAACACAAGATCTCCTCAGTGGAATTTGTACATTACATCCTGCCTCTGTCTGCTGCTCCCCCCCTCGCCTGAACCCTCGGGAGATGTCTGTCTTATTGTGAGCGTCTGAACCGATAACCTCCTGCTGCATTGATTATGTTTGAAAGGCAAACTGGAGTTCATGTCTGAAAACTGCTTTAGTTTTTCATGCCATGAGAGAGAAGACATAATGTGAAAGTTGAGGTACAGTGTGTAATGTTGCATATGTCAATCAATCACATTTTATCTGTACAGCCGATATTCACAAATCACAATTTATCTCATAGGGTTTGAAAAGTTGTGACGTCCTCTGTCCTAACCCTCAACAAGAGGAAGGAAAACCACCATTGGAAAAATAGCCCTAATTTGACTGACTGGAATCAGATACACATGAAATATAAAAGATTTTCTTTACAGGTTTCAGTCACGTCTCTGTATTAAACAGATCATTTGTTAATCTGCGGCAGGTAGATCCAGTTTTTTGTGAATCATGTGAAAACATGTTGTTTTTCTTGACTTGTTTTTTGCAGCTGTTATTTAATGTTCCCTAAGAGGTTCCCTGGGGTAGAGGTTATCAGTCCTGCATTGTGTGGTTCACCTCTGGCTAGAGACGGGTGTCACGTTGCTCTACTTCAGCTGTCAACGTTCTGCTCATTCTTCTACTGCCACACACCTTAAGGCTATGCTGACCTCAGCTGCCACTGTTCTACATTCACATATAATCTGTCTCACTTGAGCTGGCTGACTCAACTGTTATATCCATTTATTACTGGCTGAATATAGTGTTCCATAGGGTAGTGGTTATCATGTCTGCTTTACATGCATAATACCCTGGGTTCAAAACCCTGGGAGGCCCTACTGGAGGACTGCCGGCTGCATATTCCAGGTTCGATTCTCTTTGGTCACAAAATGATTGTGGGAACACAAACTTAAAGACTTTTGATGGGATGTTAATCAAGCCTAGACTGTAAACTTGTTCAGGTAGCCGTTCTCAAATCTTCTCATTGCAGCGTAGATGCAAACCCTTTTAATCCTGGTCCTGACCTCAACTGGTCAGTGCTCTACTCTTTCTTTTTCTGCGCTGCCTGCACAAACATCAGCAGACCAATTAGTTTGAGTTTTGGTGGGCCTTTTCATGTGATCAGTATGAGTTCGACAAGAAAACAGACCAGTGTTTTTTGCCGTAATGTTTTTTTTTTCCCTCTTGTCATTGGCTTATGGGCTTTTAGTCCCATGTGTGCCTATGCTTTTGTGTGGGGGTTTCTTTGTTTTCAGATAAGAAGAACAAGAATCATTGATTGTATATAAATATTAACATTCAACAAAGACTTCTTAACGTCTCATCATCCATCGCTTGTCAAGTCATGGTGCCTGAGAGCATGATGAGCTGTCGTCTATATAGTGTAAAGATGTTCTGAGCATGTGTCTAGTTACTTTTACGTAACCCATATGTATGTATCTGTATGTTCCTGGCTACTTTAGTGTCTTTACAGACCAGCTGCTGTGGGTCTCTGGGTTTGTCTGTAAGCCTACAGCCAGGTCAGGAGAATGTTAAAGCTATTCTGAGCCTGGCTGTCTGTCTCTGGGTAAAACAGGAGCCTTTACAGTCTGAACATACAGACTGGTAGTATAGAAGACAGCACCACAGCATTATACAACTCTATTAAGTTTTACCCTTCACATTTTTCATGTCAGATCTGTCATTACATTTTTGATTCAGATTCTTATCGATTCTCTCTGTCTATATCAAAAAGGTGAAAAAGTATAAGAGAAAATCATGTACAATTATTGTTGTGCTATAGTATTAACTAAACATTAACATGTAAAAATTTTGATAGAGATCAATATAGAGCAGATGCACATAGAGAGAGTGGCATCTAGTGTTGCCAGGCATCTGCATGTATGTGCTGCAGTGACTTGTGAAGAAAAGCAGAGAGCTGCAGAGAAAAATTACATGCATTATACAATTAACTCACTTTTGAGAGAAGGAAGTTTAAACACAGGCTGTTTGTACTACTGTATTAAAGACAAATATGAAAGAGTGAACAGAGATGGTAGATCACTACAGGGGTATCAAGTCATGGAGGTGATAAAATGAACCAAAATATGACAGTACTTTTTGATAACATTTTATTTGCCCTGCCAGTAATCACTGTATGCTCTGTGCAGATCTTAGTCCAGCAGTGTACTACATGTACTACATATATATATACCCAGTGGAACCAGTGCTTTGAAACAACAAGCTGGCCTGTTTAGAGCTTACACTGAAGAACTTGACCTGTTAACCCACTGTTGAAAGGTCTTGTGGTATTGTTGCCCGTCTAACTTGAGAATGTATTATTTTTGTGTCAACCAGGAAGAAATACATGATGAACTTTATCACAGTGGTGATCTGGATGAGAGTGGAGAGGAAGAGAAGGATGAAGAGGAAGACATGGCCATGATGCATAGGCATTACATGAGGACAGTGGGAGGAGGAAGAACAGAGGGTTCTGACAGCCGTGCTAACAACAGAGAGTTGAGCATTGACAATGAAGCGGAACAGGTGAGATTTTTATTGAATAAAAGTTATAATACAAGTTTTTTAGGAGCTTTGTACCAGTATCTGTCTAACTCACAACCAAACTGAATATCATTTGAAAGATCTGGTAGCTCCAGGTGTTCCTGAACTAAAAAGAACTTGGCGAGTATGTATAGGCTAGAAAGTAGACGTAAACTTGTGTGTGTGTTAGTTAAGCTGTTCAGAGGCATAGATGCTTGAAATCAGAGTCAGACGCTTCATCTCTGAATGCTGGACCAGGGCCAGATCAGCAAAAGAGAAATTGTGGGTGACACACTTAGGCAGCTGCACGCCAGGGTGCCTATTACACTCGGTTTGTAATACATATACCGTAACTATGTTTAAAAAATGAAAGATGAAAAGATGAGGCATTTAAAAATATGTTTCATGTAAGTTGTAGCACTGGCCCTTGTTTTCAGGGCAGAACTGCTACCAATAATCCACCTCTCCCACATAGCACTCCTGGTTGAAAGTCACAGAGGAAAAGTGTCTGATTTGTGACAGGATACGGTGAAGATGGAAAGACTAGACAGATGATTCTTAGAATGAAACTGAAGAACCGCTGTTCGAGAGAACCTGATAGGTGAATTTTGACCAGTGAAAATTACATGTGATTTCTTAGAAGAACCAAGACTGCCTTCTAGTAAAGGAAGGTTCTCTGGATACCACATCCAAAATCTGATTGTGATGGTCAACTCTTTTGTCGTCATTATTTATAACAGAAATAAACAGAAGTTCATTCTCCAGAGAGCCACACTTTTTGTCAATTTATTCTCTCAGAAACAAAAACATATTTTAATATTTTCACGAATAGCTGCATGGTTTGAGAGATGACATTTTGGACTAAAATATATCTCCAACTATTGGATGGATTGCAATAAGATTTCATACACGTATTCAACATCTCCAGAGGACTAATCTTTATGAATGTGGTTATCCCATAGCATATCCTGTAGCAAGCAATAGCTTGTCGTTTGTGGTTTTGAAAAATTAAAATGGGATTGATTTCCATGAATTTCATATGGACACCATGTGCATCTCAACAGGATGTATGTCACTGGAACAAGACTAACAAACTACAGCCATGCTGTTAACCAAATTGTGTCACTTGAGGAAACATCCTCTGAGCATTAACATCTTTGATCAATTGTATGACTATCCAACTGATAATACTGAAGATTCTTTACTAAAAGCCAAAAATGGCAACTTGTTGCTAGAGCTAGAAAAAAAAGTCAGGGATCACTATGTTAAGTGGGATTCGTCCTCTGTGGACCATACAACTCCATATAAAGTTCCATGATAGTCTATCCATTGTTATTTAGATAGTATAGTCTGGAATGATTGACTGATGGACAGCGAGACACTAGCATGGCTAATAAAAGCAAAGATATTACTGGAGAAGTCAACCAGCTGGTCAAACACAAATCAATGTCTTTGCCATTTCTCTCTAAACCTCTTTGCCTATTTTTTTCCCTTATTTTCAGACTTCGTTCCCCCTTCGGGAGTGTTTGAGGCTGTTGGAGGAAACATTTCCCTTCACAGAGGAACAACAGGTATTGCCACAGCCTTCCCTCTTCTTTTCAGTCCATTCTGATGTGTCCTTGTTCAGCATCAAACTTTACTTATTTTACTGCTTTTTATGTCCATCAGTTAAGTGATGTTGGCGGTGGAGGAGGAGATCTGGGAAGTCACCACTCAGGCAGGGAGACCCTGCTGTCCCCCACTGATAACCCCACTTTGGACCTGGAGCTTGACTGGCAGGACTTGTTTGCTATCATGGAACCAGTGGTGAGTGGGAGATAGAACAAATGTGAAATTCCATTTAGCAAAAAAGATGATGCGATGATCAAGATACAAACAAAACTTGATTGGTTGTGTATCCTTTCTCTTCAGAACACAGATGTTGACCCAATGACATCATTTGACAACGTCTTAGAGTCAAGACCCCCTGGGACACTGCCTATTGAGTCGGAAACTTTGAACCTTAACTACAACAACCTTGACAACGGCATAGCAGATGCTCACCAGGATGCCCAGCTAGTAGAAACTCCCCTGCAGCATGGTAATTCATTCAAATCAGGAGTTTGTTGTCAGAATTCATAGCGAGGTATACATACATACACTTGAACAACTCAGCTGAAATATTGATTCTTGACCTTGGAGACAGCGTTTTGCTGATAAAATTCTTAAAAGAAGGTCAAACTCATTTGTTTCTGAAGCCATCTACCACATCTCCTAGCTTTCCTCAATGGATAAAGTTGCTCATTTGTCTGGACATTGTTTAGTTGGCAAATTCTAGATGTAAACAATGTGATATTATCTAAATCATTGTTTTGATAATTGAGAAACTCCAATGAAAAATCTGAAGATCTGGTTGAAAGCGAGATAGAAATAAGTTAAACATCAAATATTTAATATTTGGACCTTTTATAAAATATGGAAGCTAGACAATAAATCATCTTGTTTTTATTTCCTCAATCTTCCATGAATGCTCATACGAAAAGTTCTGTTGCATATTCTATAATTGTTTACATTTTACAAAACAACTTCTCTTTCTCTCTAGGTTTCTTGTGGCCTCCTAGTCAGCCACAGCTGGAGCCAGCCCTTCTCCCCCTTACTCCCAGTGCAGAGTTGGATGATCACAGTTCAGCCTTCAATACATGGGATGTTTCGAAAAACTCCAACGTGAATACCTTACACAGGCCTCCAGATCACACGGATCTCTTGGCAGAGGAACCTTCAGAAGATTTCTCCATGGGACAAAATGCAGATGATAACTTGAGTACCTTCAACATTGACATGTTAGCTCAAGATCCAGTGGATAACATGGAAGAAAGTGTAGAATATGCTCTCTACCCTGGAGACCTCGCTAGCTTTAACGTTAACTTTAATTCACGCGACTTAGCAGCTCCCAGTCCTTCCCTGTCCCCAGAGAGGGATGATATGACCCAGAACCTTTTGATATCTTCCTCCAGTGCCTTTCTAGTTGATGAGGAGGATGTTGGTGATGATGATCTCCCTGGCCAACTCAGTGACCTCCTAGAGGATGCTGCCATCCTGGATGAGATGAGATTGTTGGACCTGGCTCTGGAGGAAGGATTCAGTCCAGAGATGGCAGCCCAGCTGGAGGAGGAGGGCTACCTTGAGTCTGAAATAGCCAAACATGACACTGACAGGGATGGTGATCACTCTACCACGGATGTCACAGAGGATCAGAGTGAACCAAGAACACATCAGCAAGGTAATATAATAAGGAGCCAACTAATTGTTTCAACTTTCTTTTTTTATTACAAAATGTACAACATGAACGAATATAATACATTTGACTCCTTATTGTAAAAATCATAGAACTTACATTGATCTTTGTTTCTAGATGATGATGATGAGGCAGAAACCGACTCTGGTCTCTCCCTGGACTACAGCTACAGCCCTGCTTCTCCATGTGCTTCTGAGGCCTCATATTATTCATCTTCATCCTCGTCTGCATCAGACTCCTCTTCATCCTCTATGTCAGATATGGAAAGTCCCTTCTATGAAGACAAGGACGAAGATGCTGAGGAAGGAGTTGCTTCAGATATGGAAGTGGAGGTGACCATAAAGCAGGAGGAGCTGGATGAGGAGGAGATGGGGGCAGTAGGAGGAGGGTATCCTGAAGATATTAAGAATCTCTTCCCTGTTAACTATGGTGATCACAAGCTGTTAAATGGTTTTGCTTGGCTAGAGCAGATTGACCATGATCACACGTATAACCAGCCCTGGCCCTCCGCCTCCTCTCCATCATGCAATATACCCGCCAAACACACAAAATCCTCTCCACAACATCCCAACCCCAGGAACTACCACTATTCCTCTTCCAGACACATCTCTGAGGCCAAAATGCGGAGCCGAGATGAACGACGTGCACGATCCTTGAAGATCCCTTTCTCCAGCGAGCTGATAATTAATTTGCCAGTGGAAGAGTTTAATGACTTGCTGACCAATTATAAACTCAATCAGGAGCAGCTCAGCCTCATCAGGGACATACGCCGCCGTGGTAAGAACAAGATAGCAGCCCAGAACTGCAGGAAGAGGAAACTGGATGTGCTGCTGGGACTGGAGGACAATGTGTCAGGTTTGAGGCGCCGCCGTTCGCAACTGCTCCGAGAGAAACAGGACGCCCTGAGGAATCTGCAAGAAATGAAACGCAGACTGGGCACCTTGTATGAGGAAGTCTTTTCCAGGCTGAGGGATGAGGAAGGAAGGCCACTGGATTCAGCAGAGTACTCTCTTAATTTTGGGCCCAATGGTAGTGTCATGGTGGCCTCACACCAACAAGAAGGATGGGGGCCACTGACAGGAGAAAAAACAAGCAAGAAACAAAGGAACAAGAAGAAGTGAGGAGGGAATATTCTTGGATGTTTTGGACATTTGAAAATACAGGGCGACTTGTGATTCCTTTGCGGAATGATGTGGTGGGATAAGGGATTCTTTATTTGGTGTTAAATGAAGATGCTAAAGGAGAACATTAAATCCTCAATACCCAAGGTCCCTGGGGTGTTCTAAATCCCTGATAAGTGGATGGCTGGAGAGGGAATCAAGACAAAGAGGTTTTCCTGATGATGTTGATGATAGGGCAACCTTTACTCCAGGATGAGTTGCTCTCCATTCTTCACTCTAAACTTTTTTTCTACACTGGAAAAGGAGTTGCATCCAACTCTTGACAGGCCTGGGATAAATTTGGGTCGTCAGTACTCATTGGGCTCTAAATAACAGACAATTGATGACCTGGGACCATCATTAAAAAATAAACAGTTTGATGCCTATGCAAAACCCTGATTCCCTTCACATCAGCTGCCCGCGTGACTGGACCATCCAGCAGGCTGAGAGCCGGCTGGACCCTGGCTGTCAGCTAATTCAGCCAAGTGCAGACACTACAGTGACTGAGCCACCAAAGATAGATTGCTGGTTTCACTTCAGTGAAGCAGAAGGACAGATGATTGACGTGGCAGCACAAAAAACACCATTGTCAGATGTATGATGGATAAATCGAGAAGAAGGTGGGATTTGTAACCATTCCTCACGTGATTCAGCTTTGAAGAAAGCAAGTGATGGAAGAAATGAAGAATTTAGTGGACATGGAGCTTGCAGCCCCACACCTGGCCACTCACAGCCGATATAGGCTGCTGGATCCTCCCTCCAATTTACTGTTGTATTTAAGGGGTACAAAGTAAACTCTAACAAACTCAAACTCACAAATATTTAAGGCTTCTTGGATTTTGGAATCACAGATGTTCTTTTGCTTTTTTTGTTATACACCGTTTAACTGAATGAAGAATGATTCATTTTCTGAAGTAGTTGTCGGCATTGTTTTCTTTTTTCCTGAAAGCATGATAGCAGTGGGTTTTAACTGTGCCTTTTTTATATATATATGGATTTGTGTTTTTACAAATTTCAGTGTCTGTGAAACTGTAGAACTCCTGTTGCCTGTTCCAAAGAACATAGCAGCAGTCTGTTTTTTCCAAATGTGGCAGGAAGGGGGGCCCTGCCATTAATGAAACCTACTGTCAATCATCATGGGAATGGAAATGTATGTCAAATGCCACAAATACTCACAAGTATCAATTTGAAGACAAATTCAGTAGAAGCGACAGATTTATAACATCAGATTCTAACACTCCAAGGATAATGAGGTACTTGGTACTGTAAAGTTGGTTCTGGTGGTTGTACACATAGCTGAGCAAGACAGAACTCATTGGAGAGCAATTATTAGTACATGGAATTGGCAGCAGTTTGACCTCTTGGTGCTATTAAACTTTGAAATAAATGTACTGGCAAAGTCTTTATTCAAAGATAGAAGTGAAAACGAGTTTCTCAGGAATGAGCATGGCCAGAACACGCTAGTATTTTTTCCCCCTACACAATCAAAACACATTTTCAGTTTGTGATACAATAATTTTATGCTGTTTCATTTACTCTTATGACAGAATCATTTATAGAGCACTTTTAAAAATACTCAAGACACTTTACAAATGAAAATAAAGTTCATACTTGATGCCTCACTTGACCGATAATTCCTCTTTTCAAGTGTTCAAGGTATTTGCACGTCACCTTTTGTAAAATTAAAAACTATTAATTCCTTCTCTCGTGTTTACAAGGTTAGCAAAACAGGTATCAGCGCAAGTGTTGCCATTTGCTGTTGTTCATTATAACTGGGTTTGTATTTAAATGCTGAATGGTCTTTATATTTAGCACTTTTCTAGTCTTGGTGACCACTTAAGACACTGTCAGCACAGCCGTCAGGGGCAATTTGGGGTTCAGCATTATCTTGCCCCCAGGACACTTCGGCACGTGGGATCGAACCGCCACCCCTCTGGCTAGAGGTCGATCTGCTCAACCTCCTGGACCACAGCCACCCCACTGAGCTTCAGGTATGTGTATAACCAGGTCAGTTGGCAGAGCTTGGCAGTCACATTTTTAAATATACTCTTGCATTGGGTGCGGACTGGCTTTATACATTCAGGTAACATTAAAACTGATATCATGTTGATACTGACGAGGAGTTTTTAATAATGTGACATACTCACACTTGTTTTGTTTGACACGAATGGCAGCACAAAACAAGGGCTGGTTTTAACCATGACACAGCTCCTGAATGTTCTCATAGCTATGGTGGCTGATTTTCTTGCTGTATGCCATTAAAAAGAAAGCATTTGAGACACCACAGTACAAATAGTTATGAAAACAAAAAAACTTTATTGTCCAAAACAGACAAAATAAGATCAGCCTGACAGTGACAATCCACGTGAAACCAATATACAAGCAACAAGATAACACAAGCTAATCTGCTAAACACTGAGAAAAGTTTCAGAGACAAGATAGAAAAGCTAAGTAGCGGACCCAGATACGGCTAATTCAATCCCTTCCTGTCAAGGGGGAGTCTGAGTGCAGGATATTTTAGTCATAATACTGATGTACACAGTGAAGACATAAGCGCCTGGAACAACTAGCGCTTGTACAGTTACACAAACTTTGGTGAAAAGATTTTTAAGATTGACATTTAGACCTGGAATTTGGACCCAGATGAAAAGACAAAAACAGATGTTGCCGTTTCCCACAGAATTAATTAAGAAGACGTTGGTGGTAACAAGGGGAGCACTGCTCACACATAAAGGTCACTCACACGCAAGAGATTCACGGTGACAGACACACAGACCAAAGAGTGACATAAGTTCTCGCGTGAGTTAAAGAACTGCATTGCATGCCACAGCTGCTGTGTGGACGGTGGACCATAGTGCAAGCTAGCAGAAGCAGGACAGCGCGAGCAAGTGCTCTGAAAATAGTGCTGTAAATTCGGCTGCACACAGAGTCAGATCTCTTTTGTTATTATGACAAGTTTAAAAAACATTTCTGGTTGGGGAACACTGGATGTGGTACCAGTTAAATGTATAATGAGTATTCAGACTGTGTAGAACAGTAAGAATGTGAACATTCTTACTCAATCTGTGGTCACTTGTGCCATCTTATATGCAACTTACTGCTTTATGTAATTTTATACCTTCCTAAACATGTCACACGTGGTTAGGGTTCTTTAAAAATGACCAAATTCTGTGGGAAAAGGGTCACTTTATTTAAAAATAGCTGCTCTGTCAAGGGTTGTGATGTGACGCAGTGTGAAGTGAAGCAGAGATAACATCCACTGGGAATAGAAAAATATAATTACGGAAATATATTTTTCTCTTCAAGATAACTCAAAGCAGGAAAAGGCCACCCATAGTAAACCGTTAGGGGAAAGGAGATTTGAACTTGCTAACCTAGGTCCGCTAACAGAGTGAGCTACAATATTAGCTTTAATAGAGTATACCTGGAAATAAGCACAGCCGGGCTACATTCAATATGAAGTGATTATATTGATCATGCAGAATTCAAAAGCTCTATCCTATTATCCTATTAGCAAATATGACAACGAGTGTTGAACATAGGACGATCTGCAAGCAAGAGGAACCAGGAGCTACTGAAAATTTGCCGAGTCATTATGTCTTGAGTGTTGCCCGGCAAGTGCAAGCTAAAATAATACAGCCTAGAAAATACACGTGTGAAAAGATTATAAACAAGGTCGTGGAAATGAAGATATTTATAATTTTTTATTTTATCCTCCATGGGCAGGAGAACACAGTTGTATTTGATATTGAGTGCCTATCCACTGAGTGATGGGACATTGACCTCATCAGGGAACCTCCACCTAACCAGCCAAACAAGCCGCTCTCACCACCTCATCAGCCAAACGAGAGGCAGACCGTAGATCTATAAACCAACTAGAGCCAATGACTCACAGTGACAGCTGAATTCATCACTGGTGTACAACACAACAGCTTCACCTTGCACTGTGAATACAAATACAGGAGGCATTCAAAAAGATTGGTCACCTGTTCTACCTTGTAGAAGAAACAGACACTCCAACATAACGATTGTTATCTGACCAAAGCAGGATTTCTGAAGCCATTACAGACATTTTTTTATCCACTGACTACAAATTCACAGATACTCATTTGTTTTGTGACAAAATGTACACAGGACCATACGGTCATATACCATATTCTGTCCCATACAGTTCAAAGAAAACCATTTGTCTGGTGGAAAAATGCTAAAATTACAGTTTCAAAACATCTTTGGTATTTCTGTTCTTCAACTTTGTTTTGTTTCCAGGGTGACATATGCCAAAACTGATGTATTTGCAATAAGCTAATATTTGTCTGGTTAATAGGTTTTAGATCTTTTTTGGGTGCTTTTAAAAAAGATCGACAGCCTGGCAGTGTCCTTTCTGTACAATGTGTTTCTATCTGAAGGATCATGAGTTGGTACTCGACTCATCTCCCCTCTAATCTTTAGGTTAAAGGGCATCTCAACTTCTTCAGGCTGGAGGTGTTAGTTTGTCTGAGCCAGTACTACACTGCTATGAGAAGCTGCTACATGCAAGTCTTCAATTGAGGTCAAATAGTGTACCCATCACTCAGTGGAAATGACAACCAGCCAGCTGCTGATCTGTCTGACGCAGTTCAGTGTGTACACACACCAGCCATTTGACAGGTCACTACCCAGCTTCAGATCCACCGAACAAACAGCTAAACTCACTTTAGAAGTTCTGGGATCAAATCTGCCACAGCTACCAGGAAATGAACTTAAGTCTGTGCACTTACATTAAACTCACTCTGTATATTGTAACAGATCAACAGATTTACATTCACAAAAAATTACACGTTTGCCAATGAACCTCCATAATATGAGCACAAAGAACTAAGCTCAGGTTTGATAAAAGTTTTAATTTTAAAAAATTTAAAAAAAACTAACAGGAAGCAAAGTACAAGCTGGAGCTTTGTCCATGGCTACAATGACGAATAAAAGCTGTCAGGTATTTGTAAAAACAAAAAACAGGTTAACCACACAACTGCAGGACATCTGAACACTGGCTGGTTGGCTGCCCAATTGGCTGGTAGGACACGTAAAGGCCAAAGCCAACAACTGGTCTTTTCACATAACGATTGTATCTAGCTAGTCTGAAATGTACAGTCCTTTGATGTGTGGGGGTTTCAAATGTAGAACTGCGATAATGAGAACGCAGGTGGCACAAAGAGAACATATACTGTAAGAGAAAAGGTTTCTGTCCATTCTTTAACTACTCCATAACACCTCACTTCTTTCCCATTCAAAAGAAGTTCCCTCCGGTGTATTCTGACAAAACAGGGAGGGAAGTTTGTTCTCTCCAAACCACCACAATCCACTTCACCCTCCTATCTAATACAGGACGTCTAAATAAGGACCAGTGACTGAGAGGAGTGACAAACTTGCCAGCCACAGCCAAACACCCGGCTTGCTTCTCACATGAATGCATGTATTAAAGAGGTAGCTTGACAGCCTGATTTGTATCCCTGTTATTTCCAGCACCAAGCACTTGTCACCAATTGTAGGAGACAAACACTTTTTTCATAATTTCACTGGATTCAGTTCAATAGTTTGAGACGACAAAGAAAAACACTAGCAGAACAAAGGCACCGACTCCCACTAAGTGACATGCTCTTGGTGAGGGAAGTAAAGCAAAGGGGAGGAACTTAAGTGTCAACATACCTCTTTAAAGTGTTTCAAACATGTTCAGTTGACACACAAGTGGGAGCATCTTTTGAGGAAAGCAGGGCTGTCTCCTTCCAGGGCAGGAAAACACACTTCTTCTCTCTCTCAGCTACATTGGCAGTTCAATCCCAATGATTTCGGATTTTTTTTCAAATCACTTTCTCTGCCAAAGTGGCTGCAAGAGTCTACTAACTTGGACAACAGTTCACCAGTATATAGTTGAAGTTGATTTTCTGCCCTACAACTGCCTCCTCATCCTCTACTCATCTAGTCTTTTTTCTCCTCCTCCTTCTTCTCCTCTTCCTCCGTGGGGTAAGAGTGCCAGGTGAGGCGCTCCTCATAGAAAGAGATGACCACCTGGGGACATTTAACATTGGCCTCCTTGGCTGGGACGAGGTCCGCCTCATCTGAATTCTTCCTGTATTTTTAATTTGAAAGAAAAAATATAAAGGCAGAGGAGAGAAAAAAACAACGTGAGTGTAGTGACAGGACTGGACTTCATCAAAAAAACTATTGACATATAGTGATTTTCTAGACCAGTCCTTTATTTTGATATACTTTCCTCCATTACTAGTGAACAGGGATACTACAACCGGCACAATATAAATAAAATTTACTGTCATTGCGATATCAATATATGTGCGAAAAATGGTGTTCCTAGTGACATGCATTCACGTGCTGCATGTCAATATATTTGGCCAATCAGATGGAGCCCTACTGCCCTAGATAATACATTAATGAATACAAATCACTGACAGGCCTGTCCTGTGAGGGATACAAAAATGACACAAGTAGGAATAAATAAATAAATGCAGGAATTAGTGTTGTAACGATCCCAAAAGGTTTGTTTCGATAACGCAAGTCTCTCTATTTAGCCAGTGGCACCAGACATCGGTAATAAAAAAAAAAATTGGTCGACAAATTATGGTGATAAATTTGTCGTAGCAGAGGGTTTCATTAGTTTGTGAGGCTACCAGTAGTGTGCAGGCTAATCCTGGGTCTGAGATTCATCACCAGTGACATTTATGTTCATTATTTCCATGCTCAATAAAATTGTAGTTCATCTTTTAAAGGTCCAGTGTGTAAGATTTAGGGTGAAAGGGATCTATTGGCAGAAACTGAATATAAAATAACCCTAGTGATGTTTTCCATTTAAATTGTACAAATTGTTTTCTTTACCCAAGAATGGGCCCTTTATAATTAAATATTGTTTATTTACACCAGGAGCGGGTCCTCTCTACAGAGACTGCCATTTTTTTTACAGTCATCCAAACTGGACAAACTAAAACCTTTGGAGTTTTTATGACAACTGAAGGCTACCACAGTTTGTCTTTCATGTTAAGATGGGGAGGGTAATTGGAGGGGTGTTCAGCTGCAACATGACACTTCAACACTTAATTCTACACACTGAGCCTTTAAGAGTTTTCTTGTTGTTTGTTTTCATGTAGCCTTCATTTTATTGCATTAGGCTATATGTGTGGATTATTGTAAAGATCTAGATCATCACTTGTCAACTTTAACACATAAGTCATATAGTCATTTGAACATTCAACAACTTTATCGCATACCACATGATTTTATTCAATGTATATATTTTACCACTAATGGCATACATAATGGTGTTTTCTACCCGTCCAATACAAAAAAGTTGATCAATAAGTGTAAAAAGTGGTTTGGGAGAGGCCACTGAGGCCAGTTCTGGAACGAACAGACGGACAGACAGCAATCTCTCCTGTTGAGATTTTGTTTTATTTTTGTTTTGTGTACAGACAGGTTGATGAGTCTGTTTTGAAACTACAAATTGGGAGTGTTCTTTTAACTATTTAAAGTATTTCTTCGATTTCAGAGCATCCACAGGCCCTTTTCTTTTGTGGTTCACCTTTGTGTTGTCATTTATAAATTGCACGTATTGACCGATGGCATGAACAAAAGACAACCGACACACAGCAACCGCAGCCAGTAATGTCCAGTGTGTTATGGGGGTCAACGGTGAAGGCTTTTGAGATTGATCAGTTGATCGCTATCGACAGGTCTGTGTTTTTTAGTGTGAAAACAAGAATGGCTGTACACTAGTTTAGATGTCCTTAACCTGCATTTGATTCTTCAGTTCTGATAACAAGACCCACCACTTCATGAGGAACATCAGTTCTCCACTCGAGTCTGTCGCTCCAATAATCCTCTCCGGCTGCAGACCTCTACCAAAACCTCTGGCTTTCTCCCCCTGGAGACAGGAAGTAAAAGAACACAAGAATGACTAAAGCCGAAAAAAATAGACTGGCAGGAGACCATGTACCTAGAATGAGCATTAAAGCGCTGTGTGCTGATAAGTAATCTGACTGGCTGCTGGGATAGTCTGAGGCAACCTCTCTCAGTCATTTACCTCCTCCTTCTTCTTCTTACTCCCTCGTTCTGCTGAGTCTCCTGTGGCCTCGGTGGGAGCTTTCCTCTTGCTTTCTTTCTTTTTCTCCTCCTTCTCTTTGTGTTTCTGCATGTACTCTGCGATTAGGTCAGGACAGTCCAAGTTGTCCTCTGGCTCCCAGGTATTGTCCTCGCTGGAAAAGGCGCACACACAAATTGAAGATGCTTTGATTACGATGCTTTGAAACTCAAAATTATAAAAATTATAAATGCTTACTGCACAAGTTGATTTGTTGATACCTGGCAATATTAGAACACTAGTACTGTGCACACATTACAACTCAAACTTTAAAAATTTAAATGAAGAAAATCCACCTGGAACCATAACATCCAACCAGTATAGAAAACATATCCAGACAGACTTGTACTCACTCTGAGAACCCCTTCCATTTCAACAGAAACTCCACTCTGCCCTTCATAATCCGGCGGTCCAAAACCTTCTCCACCACATACTCTTCCTCTTCCTCCTCCTCCGCTGCTGCTGCCGCTGCAGCAGCTTCTGCCACGGCTGGAACTGCTGCTGCTGCTGCTGCTGCTGGTGGTGGTGGTGGTGGTGGTGCTGCTGCTGCTGCAGGTGCTGCAGGCTGCTCCTCCTCCTCGGCCTTCTTGCCTTTCTTTGCTGCTACGGTCGCCAGCTTGACGTCTGCTGAGGGAGCCTCTGCTGAACCAAAAGGGAAACAAGAAGAGACGGTAATGAAATGATTACAACTTAAGCTGCTTTCAGCATGCCCTGAACTCTGGAGAACCTCCAGACATTCTCCAGGGGTGAATGTGAAAGGAAATATGAGAATGCAAAGGTCCACGTGGGAGCCTCAGAGTTTCTCCACCCAGTCCCCTAGTAAAAACTCCAGAAGGAGTCAGTGTAAGAAGACAGCAGGGGATCCTCTGGAGAATTCACTGCGAGCGAGTGGGTGTGCTGATGTTTCTAACACACGGCAGACACAAAAGTGAAGAGAACAAAAAGAAAACGCAGAGGCGGACGGCAAGAGAACTTTAGGTGAAAAGATTTAACACCGGTGTCGATATACTGTAAACAAAAACTTTATGTCTGGCCTCCGACATGCTGCACCAACCCTCCCCTGAATCCTCTCACAGAATTTTGTGTTGTGGAGAATGGGTATGCGAATCTCCCACTGCATTGTTCATGTGTGAATGACAAAGTCCGTAGAACGTCCAGACCCGATTCTGCGGACGTTCTCCGGACTCCATGTCTGAAAAATGCTCAAGTGTTCTAAGTGAACTATACTTGAGCATGTTTTAAAGCAAGGATTGATAATGTTGGAAAAGCTAGCTTTAAAAAAAAATGCAGCTGACACATCCCACCCCTACCATCTGATCACAGCCGCGCCCCCCAAATGAATGAACGCACACTGCCTGACAACTACTAAAACCTGAATTCTCTGTGACTCGCTTGCTGATCTTTAAATATCATTTCTGATTCAGCCGTGTATATCGGCTGAACTTGAGTCATGCACCCAGCTTTAAATGAGATTTACAAATCTAAGGCACCGGTAGAGCTCCTCACAACAAAACAAGTGTCCATGTTCCTCGTCTCCTTTGCTACCAAACCAAGCTCGTTCCACAAGCTAGACTGGAGAGCACTGAATAACAAAACATATTGTACCTGGAGCATGCACCTTTCACCCAGTGTGGTCACAAATTCTGGCTCTGTATAAGGGTCCATGTGTACCCTAGCGGACATGGGTGACCAGTAAATCAACAGTTTACTGGTCACAGTTTACAGTCAATTTCAACTACTATGAAGTTGCACTATGCTACACATGCTATGCTATGAGTTAACTTTAAGCATCTTGATGTAATGTATGCAAGTCTGGTTGCCTTGTTGAACTGCCGCCCTTCATAAACTAACAAGAAGACACTGAATAACCACTGACTTCCAGCTGCATTTGCCCAAAGCAAACAAAGGACCATGCCACTGACTGTGTTATTGCACATAGCAACGGACACTTGCTGCTGCAGCTGAAGTGAATGAAGAGGCTGCACTCTAGTGACAGTATCCGGACGGAGCCCACCTGAGAGTGGGATCTCTGTAAAGCAATGGCGCCCCCCGAAACACAGGGGGGAGGGTTGAGTGCAGGCTCCTCTTGAACTCGCAGGCTCCGATGAAAAGCACAGGAGCCGCCATGTTAAAGTGAGATTTTCCAGCGCAGAATGGTGCCGTTGTTTGGATGGACCCGCGGAACCCACGACCCAATTCCTCGGAAAGGTGACCCGTGGCAGATGTGGAAGAAAGGCCACGGGTGGCTGCTGTGGCGCGAGTGTCCGTACTTTATCCAGCTCGATTTCAAACACTGAGCTGTAGCGGCTCAGCACTAAGACAAACACATTCAACTACACATTCAGTTCCCCGCGATCGGTGCTTTACATGACAACACAAAACTAGAACAATCTCATTCTGGCGGATTACAAGTGGTGGGGTTGTGTGCGTTCGATCAATTACCACATGTTTAGTGCTTTGCAAAAACGCCCCTCTCCGGCAATCAGCTGGAAACCCGCAAACCCCACGACAGCCGCAGCTTCACACACACGTGCACGGACCTGTAACATCTGCAGACGGGAGGCTGGATGTGCACAAAGTAACACAAAGACGAATGCTTCGTGGGAGCAGCGTCAAACAAACGCCTGCACGAGCACGCTGCAGCCTCGCGCGCTGCTACCACACAGGCGACGAAAGCCCAAACAGATTCGGACATTTTCACCTCGCAACGCCGCTACATTTAGCGGTTGACACAAACACACACGGGGGGAAAAAATACCCCGAACAAGAAGACAAGTGAGGCGGCCCGCTCCTGCAGCCAGGGGGCAACATGGCTGGCGTGTTTTCTCACCGCGGCTAGTGAGCCCGAGTCTTACCTTCACGGGGAAAGCTTGGAGTGGGCTTGAGTTGGGCCCGAGGACCAACACCGATGCAATCCGGTTGCTGTGGCCGGGTAACAGCTCGAGGACGGCGCCGGCTGCTGCACAGTGCTACCGGGGGGTCTGCGGGCGAGTTTTTCCTCAATGTGCCTCGCTGCTGAATCACACAATAGCCCCAGCGTCGCTAACAACCAGCACAGCCTCCCGTTCTGCCCGCCAACAGCACTGCCGGATGTGACGGCGGCGGCGGTGGTGGTGGACAGCGTGACGAGGGCATTGTGGGATGTGAAGTTTTACCGCTGCTGAGGGGGAAATGGGTGAGGGAGCCGGGGAGCCGATTGTGAAAACCAGCCCCAGCGACTCAGGAGGAGACATGGAGGTGAAACACACGCTATCCACAGCATGTCTCTCTGTGTTTCTGTGTTTGCAGTGCGTTGACCTTTCTGGGCCACCGTACATCCATCAAGGTTCACTCTAGACTTTAATAATAATAATAAATGTACATAGCAGTTTAAAAAAACATAGTTTACAAAGTGCTTTGACAACAAACACATAAAAGCCACTTGATAGCACTGACTTGACAGCAGTCATGGGAGCACAGACCACCACCAGGCCCAACAGTCCCCTTGTATTCAACTAAGATGCACCACACACATATACACTATAGGGACAAAAGTATTGGGACAATCCATAGGCATTGATATGGAGTTGGTCCCCCCCCTTTGCAGCTATAACAGCTTCCACTCTTCTGGGGACATTTTCTACAAGATTCTGGAGTGTATCTGTTGGGAATTTTTGCCCATTCATCCAGAAGAGCATTTGTGAGGTCAGACACTGATGTTGGACGAGAGGGTGTGGCTCACAATCTCTATTCCTGTTCATCCAAAGGTGTTCTACAGGGTTGAGGTCAAGGCTTTGTGCGGGGCCAGTCAAGTTCTTCCACATCAAACTCCCCCAACCAGGCCTGTATGGACCTTGCTTCGTGCACTGGGGCAGAGTCATGCTGGAACAGAAAAGGGCCCTCCCCAAACTGTTCCCACAAAGTTTGGAAGCATTTAAAATATCTTGGTACCCTGAAGCATTAAGATATCCCTTTACTGGAACTTTTTTCATCAAGATCCATGAATGATTCCCTGGGAAATCAGTGAAAATGTAAAGCCCTATATCTCACAAAGTTAAAGAAAGAAGAACAGTTCCTTTGTACGACCCCTGACACAGATCAAACTCAATTTCGTAAATTCATGTCAGTTTTATTTGTATAGTGCCAAATTGCAACATACATTGTCTAAAGGCCCTTTACAAAGTAAAGTCAATATCATACAAAATTATAGAGAAACTCAGCAGTTCCCTTAAAAAGCAAACATTGACGACTAGAGAAGGGTGAGGGGAGAAAATGGGGGAGAGAGGAGAGGTGGGTGGAAAAGAGGGGGGAGAGAAGAAAGAGAGACCAGGAACAGGTGTGTGACTGGCATATTACACAAACACGAGATGCAGACTTCTGAGCTCGTCCTTTCTCTGGAGCTCAGTGATTTCATGTTGTGGCTTGTCAGGCACATCAGGCACTTCCCTAAAGGGCTAAACAAATATCTTCACTCAGTATTATTTACTTTGCATGTTCTCAAACCTCCGGTCAAATCACCAGAATATTCAAATATCATAGCAGGCTTTTGTTCTTGCGGCGCAGGAATACACACAATGTTATCACACACGCACAAATGTACTTTGTCTGGTTCTCGCAGCTCAGCTGGAGCAACAAGGGCCCCCTTCACAAGTTTACTTTCTGAATGAGCATTCACCTTGTGTTGTATCTCATGTCAGGTCATCATTACTGATCACTATACTATTAGTCATTTTGGTCATCCTATAGTAGCAGTCTTTTAATAATAACATGTACACTATTAATATTCAATGCATATTATATTTACTACTGTCTTGAAGCATAACATGATGCTGGACACAGTGAATGATGTGTAGTCTCTTGTTACTTACAACTAAAAGCTACATCTTTGCAAAGAGTTGGACTCATGATCCTCAACTCTTCCCACAATGCACTTCTTCAAGCACCGAATTAGCCAAAAGGAGGCCTCAACACGTCAGAGCTGCATCACATAAAAAAACAAATCACAGCTTCATACAGACCTGCTTGAGAGTCAAACATTCATTGCATGCAATATGCAAGAAGAGAGTTTATAGGGCTTACCTTTCCATGGTAAATAATAATATTGACACTATTAGAAGTGCTGTTTTGGGATATTATTCATAAATTCTTAAGAGGTTCAATTCAGTGATGTAGTGAATGATCTGTGGAGGACATATCAACTGTTGAGTCTTAACTGGAGTGTGTGAGTGTCTCTTGCCTCTGCTTATGCAATACTGCCATCTGCTGGTGATTTACACCTGGCTCAGGAAATCTCAAAACCCCTTTTTAATATGGTCATTTGGAAGCTGGGATCAAGTTCTGC